AAGCCTGGCCTTCCATGAAGAAAACAACTATTACTGACCAAAAAAAAAAAAAAAAAAAAAAAAAAAAAACCTAATATAGAGTAACAAAAGGTTATTTTGTTACTCTATTATGCAAACAGGAGTACAACAAACTTCTGATTAACATCTCAGAATAAGCTTCCATTTAGTAAATTGTTTTTTAAAAAATCTCTTTCCAATTAGATGGGTTAGTATCAAAATCTTTCTCAAATATATATACTGTACAGTAAATGAAATAATATTGCAGTATTAGTATCAACTGCTATTAGAACCTACTAAGTGTTGTGAGAGTTTGGAAATACAGAGGGTCAGCTATAAAATTAAATATATATAACCCATTATAGTCTATGTTACAAAGAGAAACATGATAGTGAAGATATTAAGGGAGATTATTCAACCTATTTTGTTCTTATCTAACTCTTCACATACTAGATCAGAAGCTGTTACTATGCAATACTTACATTTATTAGCCTTCAACTTCCTTTCATCTACAGGAACTGGATCCAAATAGTCCCAGTAATATTCATAAGACCAATAATACTCAGATGTGTTTGTTCTGATAGCCATTTCAGTAGCACATTTTAATCATCTCAGAACTCCAATCTAATACTCTTTTATTTTCTACGACACTTCAGTGTCCTCATATAGAGATTGCATAACTGATGCCTGTGTAAATCATTCTGAAAGTCCTCATATCCTGCAACTCAAGGACTGCTTAGATACCATTTAGCAGAAATGAACGTCAGACTATGACAGACACCTAATAACAACCTCTGTTGCTGGTGGGCAATTATGTACTAGCTATTTTCCACCCGGCTTTGTATTGACATGGATGTCAAGTAAACAGTAATAGAATGGACAAAAGCCAAAATGAGTTATAAACTATTCCCAATGAGTAACTAGCATCAGTGAAGCCCTCAGCATGAAACAGATATTCTTGACCCACTGAAAAGAGCTTTCCTAAAAAATAATCATGACTCTATGACACATATACCCTAGAGGGCCTGATAAATTACTCCTTAAATAAAAGACGGTATTGGAACAGCTGGAGATTTTGTATCAAATATTTTAAATGATTTGCCTTAATACCAGCCATCCCAAACAAATGATGTAAAAATAGGCCCCAGGCAGAATGTAAGTAGAAGAGATTCAGTGCTTTCAACAGTAATCTTTGAAATACCTACACAAACACATATGCAAAACATTTTATTAGAAGAGAAATTACTAACATTAACAGGAAGACAGATCCTCCATCAGTTTTTAAATGTATTCCTGAGAACTACACCATACATCATGGTTGTCCCAATCAGACATGGTTGTTTATTTGGTGATAGGAGTTTGATCGATACTAAACGTGATGTCTGAATAGTGCCAGATTTCTCCTTTTGATATTTGTGTAGCATAGGGTCTCTACGATTCTCTCTAAAACAGACTGCAGAGGAGCATTTGTTGTCAGCCTGAAGTAGGAATCACAAATACAGTAGTAGGAGGCAGATTAGTTAAAATTAAATCTGTCTGTTTCAAAAGTACTACACCTACCTGTTTATCTTATGTACTTATATAGTCCCCATCACCACAGTAGTTGAGCACCTCATAATCTTTAATGCATTCATCTTCACAACACACCCTGAGAGGTAGAGAAATAACATTATCTGCATATTGCAGATGGATAACTGAAGCCCAGATTCATAAAGATATTTAGGTTCCTAACTTCAATTGAAATCAATGGGAGTTAGATGCCTAAATACCTTTGAGGATCTGGGCTAGAGAGACTAAGGCCTGGTCTATCCTTAGATCAGCCTAGCTAAGTCTCTTGGGGCTGTGAAAAATGTCATGCCTTGAGCACTGTAGTTTGGTCTACATAACCCCTGATATAGACAGGAGTAGGTCGATGGAGAAATTCTTCCATTGACCTTGCTACCACATCTTGGAGAGGTGGATTAATTACATCGATGGAAAACCTCCTTCTCTTGATGTAGGAAAGATCTACACTACAGTGCCACAGCCACAACGCCATAGCTGTGCGCTGTAGCGTAGGCATACCCTATGTGTCTAGCCCAGAGTCACACAGGAAATCTGTGGCAGAGCAAGAATTGAATGCACACCTCCCACAGCCCAGGCCAGAACTCTAACCACTGATCCATTCTTCCTCCCTGAGAATCTCCCTACCCTTTTTTATGAGTTTACAGTCATAACTGTCCTATCTTTAAGATGTTTTCTCTCTCCGGCCGCTTTGTGAAAGACCCACATAAACAGGGGAAACTGACTGAGAAGGAGAAGCAGTGAAAGTGACTTTGAACAAAGCTGTATCAAATGCTTGAAGTATGCAAAAAAGAAAAAAAAGAGAATTATTTTCCCGCTAACATTTTTAGTTACAATAAAGTAGTTCGTACAAGAGAAGCAAAATCAAAATTCAAAAGTTTGATTCTTAAGTTGCCTGTTCCTTTTAACTCGATTTGCTTCTGTCAGGCCTGTTTTCCCCCACCCAATAGTAAGGCTCTTGTCCCACTGAGCAGTTAGGAACATGTGAAAAAGTGTGCACAGACCGTTTTTCAAATAAGTCAGAGGTCACCATTTCTGTGTGCATTCTAGTGCGTGTTAGCTTACATTCTGCTTAGAAGGGAAAACAGAGAAAATAACCTAAAATTTACATTGCACCATCAGCCCCAAAATGCCAGCTTATTTGGAGGAAAAACTTGAACAATGTTTCCCTCCCCCCACCCTCCCAATGGCTTGCTCACAGCTCCTTCACGGCTCCCTTTCCTCCAATGGCTCCCATTCTGCTCCTGGACCCACTTAAGGTATGGCTACACCCTTAGGGCTTGTCTACACTGGCAAGTTTTGTCAACAAAAGATGCCTTTTGGCAACAAAACAGCGATTGCATACACACTGCAATGGGACTTTTGTAAAAAAAAAAAAGCCCAGTTTTGGTGACAAAAAACTTCCACCCCTGCGAGTGACTTTTGTCTTTTCCTCTATCTTTATTGTCAACAAACAGCCAGTATAGACACCACACCTTTTTTCCACGATTTTATTGGCTTCCAGAAAGTGTCCCACAATTCCCATGCTGCCGCTCTGGTCAGCGGTTTCAACTCCGCTGCCCTGCAGCCAACCCGTCCCTCCCCTTTGCAAGCCCCGGGAATTTTAAATCTCATTTCCTGCTTGCTGGCTTCCCATGTGAGCTTCCTAGGTGGCTTCCCTGGTAAGCATGGCTGGCTATTGCACCAAACGCACTCCCGCTTGGACCACTGCTGAGCTGTTGGATCTGATCAGTATATGGGGAGAGGAGTCTGTTCAGTCACAGCTACAATTGAACCGTAGGAATCGGGACACATATGGGCAAATTTCTCAAGGCTTGTGCAAAAAGGGCTATGATCGGGACACACAGCAGTGAAGAGCGAAGATAAAGGAACTGCGGCAGGCGTACCATAAGGAGCGGGAGGCAAACCATCGCTCCTGTGGTGCACCTAAGACCTGCCACTTCTATAAGGAGCTGAATGCTAACCTCGGTGGTGACCCCACCTCCAACACCAATAGCCCCGTGGATACTTCGGAGGCAGCAGAAAGAGGGGGTAACCCGGAGTCTGAAATTCTGGATGAAGAAGCGGAGGTAGAAGAGGATTTGGAGTTCCCAGTGGGGTCGCACAGTGGGGCATGCAGCCAGGAACTTTTCTCCACTCCAGAAGTGCTCTATGGGGAGCAGGAAGCAGATGAGATGTCGGGTAAGTTGCTGTGGTTTGTGTAGGGAATTGAAAAGTGGGAGGCAGGTAGTGTTTTACTGGACATTGCCCTGTGTAACTAATCTGCATGGCAAAGCAGGGTGTCGATGGACATAGAGACCTGCAGGGAATCTTCCAGAAAGGCTCTGGAAAGTTTCCAAGAGGTACTTGTTAATCCTCTGCCACAGATTCTAAGGGTATGTCTACACTACGAAATTAGGTCGAATTTATAGAAGCCGGTTTTATAGATATTGGTTTTATACAGTCGATTGTGTGTGTCCCCACATAAAATGCTCTAAGTGCATGAAGCTGGCGGACCGCGTCCACAGTACTGAGGCTAGCGTCGACTTCTGGAGCGTTGCACTGTGGGTAGCTATCCCACAGTTCCGGCAGTCTCTGCCGCCCATTGGAATTCTGGGTTGAGATCCCAATGCCTGATGATGCAAAACAGTGTTGTGGGGGGTTCTGGGTACATGCCGTCAGGCCCCTCCCCCTCCATCAGAGCAACGGCAGACAATCGATTCACGCCTTTTTACCTGGGTTACCTGTGCAGACAACATACCACAGCAAGCATGGAGCCCGCTCAGCTCAGCTCACCGTCACCATATGTCATCTGGGTGCCGGCAGACGTGGTACTGCATTGCTACAGAGCAGCAGCTAATTGCCTTTTGGCAGTAGACAGTGCAGTATGACTGGTAGCCTTCATCGGCTATCTGGGTGCTGGCAGATGTGGGGCTGCATTGCTACACAGCAGCAGCCCCTTGCCTTTTGGCAGTAGATGGTGTATTAAGATTGATATCTGTCATCGTCGTATTCCAGTTCAATCAGAAGCACCTGGGCAGACATGCTTTGTCTCCTGGAGACTCAGTCCTGCCGGCAGTCCAATTGAACCGTCTTGATGATGATGGCTAGCAGTCGTAGTACAGTATCTTCTGCTAAGCACCCAGAAGATGCCGAGGACTATCAGTCATGCTGCACCATCTGCTGCCAGCTTAAATTGTAAAAAATAGATGTATTCATTTGCTTCCCTCTCCCTCCGTGAAATCAACGGCCTGCTAAACCCAGGGTTTTGAGTTCAATCTTTGGGGGGGCCATTCTGTGTGACAGTTGTTTGTGTTTCTCCCTGATGCACAGCCACCTTTGTTGATTTTAATTCCCTGTACCTGTACGCCATGTCGTCAGTCGCCCCTCCCTCCCTCCGTCAGTTTCGTGCCTTTTTTCAGACCAGACGCCATAGCACTGGGATCATGGAGCCCGCTCAGATTACCGCGGCAATTATGAGCACTATGAACACCACGTGCATTGTCTTGGAGTATATGCAGAGCCAAGACATGCCAAAGCAAAACCAGGACCAGCCAATGAGGCGATTGCAGCGCGGCGACGAGAGTGATGAGGAAATTGACATGGACACAGCCCTCACACAAGGTATGGGCCCCAGCAATGTGCAAATCATGGTGTTACTGGGGCAGGTTCATGCCGTGGAATGCCGATTCTGGGCCCGGGAAACAAGCACAGACTAGTGGGACCGCATCGTGTTGCAGGTCTGGGATGATTCCCAGTGGCTGCGAAACTTTTGCATGCGTAAGAGCACTTTCATGGAACTTTGTGACTTGCTTTCCCCTGCCCTGAAGCGCCAGAATACCAGGATGAGAGTAGCCCTCACAGTTGAGAAGCGAGTGGCGATAGCCCTGTGGAAACTTGCAACGCCAGACAGCTACCGGTCAGTCGGGAATCAATTTGGAGTGGGCAAATCTACTGTGGGGGCTGCTGTGATCCAAGTTGCCAAGGTAATCAAAGACCTGGTGATATCAAGGGTAGTGACTCTGGGAAACGTACAGGCCATAGTGGATGGCTTT